GGGGGGGACATGTCACAGGGGCCGTTCCCAAGAGGCGTCTGCAGGCAGGGCGGTCACCGGGGAGGGGTGCTGGGGGGCGTCCCCACGAGAAGCCACGGGGAGGATTGCATACGACAAGGTCCCACCGGCCACAGAGCCACGCCGCCCGGCCGCATTGCATATGGGGGGGGTAAATGGCGGAGGCCACAGCCCGAGGAAGGGACAGGGGGGTGCGGGTCCGAGTGGATGTGTCCTCCCTGGCCTGGAGGCCTGGAGTCGAAGGGGCAAGCCCAAGCCCAGAAGCCCTGAGTGTGTGTCCGTGACAGCCCTGTTTCTTCACAAAGGCCCAGAGAGGGTGGGCCACCCATCCAAGGCTGCACAGCAGGACCCGCTGATGGCCCCGAGAGACACGTCTCTCTGGCGGTGCCGTCTCCCACCCCTCGAAGCCGGGGTCTCTGGGCCTTCGCATGGTGCCCCTGATGACGGGTGGGCAGAGTCCTTTCACCCTGGGGTGGACGTGGACCCGGGAATCCAAGATGGCAGAGACGCTTGGGTGGCCCCAGCCAGAGGCAGGAAGGACCCTCGGGGACGGGACCATCGGGGAGCAGGACGCCGGGAAGTGGAGGGGACGGTGGGCAGGTGGAGAGGGTCCTGTGTCCCCTCAGAGACTGTCCAACAGGAACCGATCCCGGGGACATGGCATCGCCACTCAAAGGGGCCTGGACTAACTCGGGGACGGAGATGGGTCGTGGTCACCCAGAGCCCGATGGTGCCCGCCCCAGGGTCCCCAGACCCACAGGCCCCCGTCAAAGGCTCAGGGCCGGCTTCCCGGGGTCCCACGTGCCCCAGCTCGGTGTCCCCAAAGCGGAGGTGCTGCGGGAATCCCACCCTGAACACATCCTCCTTGGTGGCCCGGTCCCTGGGTGACATGGGCCCTCTGCCAGGGAGTGTAAGCACCTGAGTCCAGGGGACAGGTCCTGGGGGACGGTCCCTGCTCACCTCCTGTGACGGCAAGCTCAGCGCCCCTGGTAGCCCGTCCCTGTCACCTGTCCCCACGGAGGCCCACGGGGACCTGGGAAGCCCCAGCCCCTCTCCTCCTGTCCCCACCCCTCTGCGGCTCCTCTGGGGCATCTTGGTGACCAACTTGGCAAACACGCAGATGTCACTGTGAACCGAGGACGGGGACCTCGCTGCCTGGTGCCCCCTGTTGACACGGAACTTGGGGACAGAGACCAGGTCCCGTCCCCGTCGGCCAAGCAGGTGCCCACGGGTCCCCCGCCGTTGGCCCCTGGGGTGTCTGGATCGAGGGCCACCTTCAGAGCATCTGGGGACTGCCGGGGCCTGGCGCTCGCGATGTCCTCTTGCTCTGCGCCAGGGGGTTGCGGCTGATGACCAACTCCAGGACGTCACCCGCCTCGGCCAGGAGTGGCACCGCCAGGCAGCAGTCGAAGTCCCGCGTGCGGACGTGGTTGACCTGCACAGGGCACATCCAGGCGACAGGACCCAGGGGTCAGCTCAGCAGCAGGGAAGTGGAAGGGAACAGCTCGGGAGGCTGAGGCAGGAGGATCCCAAGGTGGAGGCCAGCCTCAGCCACTGAGTGAGACCCTGAGCCACTTAGCAAGACCCTGTCTCAAAATGAAAAAAAAATAAAAATAAAAAGGGCCGGGGCTGGGGCTCCGTGGTTAAGCGCCCCTGGGCTCCATCCAAAGCCACAACAAAAAAATTTCCTTTCAAAATAACTAAGTTGAAAAAGCCCCATGGATTTAGGGAGAGAAAGCACAAGTTTAGTCCATTTAGTACCAGAGCCAGGAGACAAAAATGTCTGGGCATGGGAAGGGAGGGTCCAGGGGGACCTCCCACCGTCCCCGGTCTCCTTGGCTGTCAGGCAGGTCACATGGGCTGCGAAGGATCGTGACAGGTATCTTTCTGGGTGAAGGCAGCCTCCTTTCCTCCGTCCTGCAGTTTGAGGAGGCCACGGGAGTTAGACAAGCTGGAGGGTCCATCCGCCTGGGGAATGCAAGGCCACACTGCCCCCCAGTGGACGCACAGAGTAGTTCAATACTAGTGCATGCTCAGCACTGAGGTCTGGGGGTTGTTTGTTACTGCAGCAAAACTCAGCCTCACCTGACTGGTACAGCTCACTTTGTCATTCCCCTTATTATTGCT